TAACACTCAATCGGATGCCTCGCTGTTTTGCAAGTAGTCTGTAGTTTAAAACTTGATCTCTCCTCAAACTCAGATACAAAATAAGTGAATAAAAATAAAGAATTATTTTTTCATCTATTAGCAGCTCAGTATTTTTTTCGGTATTCATTTATGTGATTTAAGCCTTAGTCAATGATGTCAGTCATTTTCAGAGACATTCCTCCGTCAGCCAAACACAGTATGTCTAATGGTGCAGCAGGGCCAGTACTGATTGGATAATATGTTAATATATGTATGTTAGATCAGAGATGATTGTCAGAAATGGGTAGATGGACAGACTGATTGACTGAATAGCTGACAACCTAAAGGTTTTTGTTTTTTTGGGGTTTTTGCAACGAAACTGTTTGAATACAATATTGACATAGGTTTGTGAGGCAAAAACTAGTCTGGCAGTGAACAGTTTAACATATTGATCATAGGGGATTAGAACGTAACAAAAAAGGAAGTGCAAAATTAAATACAGCAGTTACACATACAAAGATCTTTCCCATGCAGTTTTATTTAAAAAAAAAACAAACAAAAAATAGCAGTCAAAATGTGGAGGAAGAAAGTCAATAGATTTGAATTATTAGATTGTCACTAATTAGACAAAAAGAAAGAGAAATTAGAGAAATCTACACAGTTGAAAATGTTTCAAATAACAACAAACTGTTTGTCTTCTTGATGTTTTCTCATATTCATTCATGGTCAAACCTGTGCAAAACCAGTAGCTTGTATTGTTGTATTGATGTTGCTTAAACGGGTGGCCGAATGAAGGGATGCACAAGAGAGCCTTGAAAACCAAAGATTTAGGTCACAGTGTGAGACTTGACTAACTAATATCAGTCCCAGTCAGTTGTCATTGTCCTGTGTTCTTGGCGCACTCACAGTTCAACGGCCAAACAAATGATGCCACTGAAGCTTTCCAGCATTATCCATCCCAGACTCTGGACTGGACCCCTAAATGAGGGCCAAGGTCACAACCTTTTGTTACAGGGCCTTTTCTCTCCTGTCTTTTCACCTTCTCTGGTATACATATACACACACATACACACACCACAGAGAAATGTACTTGTGTATCAAACATGTACAAGTACACTGACACCTAAAAAGCTTGCATGACACACAGAAACGAACTGCAACATCTTTTTTTTTTTTTTTTTTTTTTTAAATTCAGTGATTTGTGACTTAATGTGATTAAAATTTTCCACAGTCTTGAATAAGGGGATAATATTACCAGCCCTATGAATGACCATGCCAGGTCATCCTGACAGGGGATTTAACAACCCTTATCCCCTAATATCGTTACGTCACCTCAGAGGCTTTCTGATAACTTACTCAGCAGAGTCTTGATCATATTCACTGCTCTGTTCATGCAGTTTGAATGAAAACCTATAGTTCAGGGAGTAGTTATATATTCATGTTTCATTATTCATTATATCACCTTCTGCATTGTTATTCTGACCATTTAATCTAGAACAATTTTACACACAAAGAACACTGATTTGGACGATGATGGTGGGAAACTGTTTCAGATGATTGTTCCAGTGCTCTGTCTGATTTAATGGAGAGGTGTTATCCTTAACTGTTTCTCCCTCAGTTTCATCCTGATTATTGTCTGTCTGTCAGTTTCAGTTTGGAACCATGAATGCAAAATGATGATTCCCTTTTTTTTTTCTTTTTTTTTTATTATTGAAACCTTGGATTCTGTGGTAAGATGGTACTTGTCTAAACTCACCAGGAGAACACTACATAATGATTTAATTTTAATCATTATTTTTGTGTATTAGCTGTAAGGGTTATTAATACAGGTGCGAACAGGAAGAGTTATAGTATAGTATACCTACAGTATTTAAATATAATTGAAACAATTAGCACAAAACACTCAGGCGTGTGCAGATGTATAATAAGAGAGAATTGGAGTGGACTTGTTTTTTTGGTCATAAACACTAAGTGCAAAAGGGCCTTGTGATGGTGATGACTTATTATTTGTCATCTGTCCATATAATTTATTTATTCAGTTAACATTTTTCACACCTACATATGAAGATGCACATCACAGTGCAGTTTTGCTTGGCTGCAAACCAATGCAAACAACATGCTAAGTGGAGCTGCAAGAAGCTTTTTAATGTTCTCGTTAATAAGCAAAACACATGAAATATTACTGAAACTGTTCAAAAGTAGGATTTCTTTTCCTAATCTCTCTTGCTCTCCCTCACACACACACACACACACACACACACACACACACACACACACACACACACACACACACACACACACCGAGAGAGAAAGGAGTCCTGTTAGTCATCCTCCCTGATCTGCACATGTGACGATGCAAGAGTTCCCTGACAGCCAATCATAGCTCTTGGAGAAGAGATGTTTCCATAGCGACGATACAGTGACAGTAGCAGATGGGGTTGCTGTTGAGAAGAGTAGAGAGGCAAAGGAAAGAGGGTAGAGGACAAACAGAGTGACATTGAGGGAAAAAAAGTCATGATGATGAATCTGGTTCATGACCTTTTAATCTGTGTTTTTAACAGGGTTGTTTAAACTGGCACTCAGTGCATAAGGAAGCACATGAAAAGCTTTTGTGATGATGGTATGGCAGGTATGATATGGTAAGGTAGCTTCAGTTGGTGATATTACAAAACAAACAAAACAAATATTTGTTAAAGAAAGCCACATGGCTCTTGAAATGAAATTGGTAGAAAAGACGGAAAGGAGCAGTTTCTTATTGGAAAACTAAAGCTCTGTTTGTCTGTGTGTTGTGTTCACACGCTGTCAGCTATCTGTGTTATGATGAGTTATTTCTGTCTACATATTTATTCCCCTCCCTTCATCTCTTCAGCATTTACCACCCTTCCCTTTCTCTCCTTCCCTCCTCTCTTTCCCTTCTTCACTCTAACCTTTACTGTCTGACTCATTACTTTCTGCCCTCTATCACTCTCTGTCTTCACTCTGACTCTCTCCTTTTTTCTGTCTTTTTCACTCCCTCTATCAATAGCCTTTACCTCTGCCTTTAAACTAGGGCTAAACTATATTTGGCATAAATAACAATGCAGTATTTTTCTTTTGCATTATATACTGTGGTATTGTGAGCAATGTTACATAATCACAATATTTTCTTCCTTGACTTGTAGCTCCAGTAGTTGGTCCATTTGTGAAGAAAGAGAAACTGTGTTTGCACAAAAACGACAATTCATCTTTTTTTAAAGTGTCTTTCATCATCTTTCACAACAATGCTAAAGTCAATGCAAAAATCCATTTGAGACACTTGCTAGTTTTCCTCTCTAAGTATATGCTAAATTCTTTCACTAACCAAAATGGAATAACATCAGGCTACATGTTTATCATAGCTCAAGCCTGCTTTCAATATTAGTCGTGGAATATTTGTAATGTCTGTAGTATTAATTTTCAATTCTATGTCGAACAGTAGATTTCGCCAGTGTATCACGATGGGTCTACTTTTCCTATTACATAATTTGTGATGTGAATGTCATGCACGGGAACATTGCTAAGTCAACATGAAAATGATATACTGACATTGAGCCCTACTTTAAACCCTCCATCCCTCCCTCTTATCTTTCTAATCCACTCTTCATGCCCGCTCCATCCATCTCTGCCATCTCTCCTTCCAAGAAAATGTTATTTATTTATTTATTCTTTTTTTTTGTCACTCTCCTTTCTGCTTCATCTGTGGTGTCAATGTCTTACTCATTAGCTTCATCTATATGTAGATGTCTTATGGAACAGGCTGTGATGTCTTTTTCCTATCTCGTACACATACTGTATATGTGTGTAAAAGATAGTGTATTTGATAATGCCAACACAGTTATCAACACCTTTCTTTGAATCTCTATAGCCAGAAATCTCTGATAATTTCTGTTCTGGGCATTTCATCTCCAGACACTAAAAGTCACAACTAAACTAAATATAATTTAAAAGGAAAAGGTTTTTTTTTTTTTTTTTTGGATGATGCTCTGTGCGCATTAACATAGCATTGCGAAAGGGAGTTATTAATATTTAGCCAGTAGTTACATAATCCCTGCAAATATAGAAGGTCAAAATCAAGTGCCAACGTCACAAAGGCTTTCTAGCTGGTAGATGGACTCTAATCTCAGAAATCTCCTAAATAAGGGAACTTTTATGTCTCTGTGCCGACAACAACATCTATCTCGTCATCTATCTAAAAATGTTCACTTGGACCCAAAGATCAACTGATTAGATTTTGGTGCTGAAAGGTCAAAGTTCAAGGTTATGTCTGTCCCATTTTTGGGAGTGTGGCACAGATGTCCACTTTGACTTAAGGATAAACTGTTTAGAATTCGATGGATAAAGGTCAGAGGTCATTGTGACTTTACAAAATTTTTGGCCATAACTCAATACATACACTATACACTACCTCATCCACTCAAGTCAGATTAGTGAGGGTTGATTATTGTGATTGGCGAGTGAGCTCACTCCAGGTACACTCGCGCCCTGATTGACAGGTATACAGAGACGGCTGTTGTTGTGTCGAGTTCTGCCTGCCTGCCAAGGATTTGTTTGTTTGATTTGTTGTTTTTTGAAAGTCCACTGGGCCACTAATGCAGCAGGATTTCTCCCAGTGTTCCTGATGGCCAGTGAAGCATAGACACAAAACACTATGTTAGAGATCTTTTATGTTGTTGATATGATAAGTGTAAAGGTTTTCAATTCATTATGAAACTGTGGCAGGAAACAGAACTTGAGAATTGGACTGAGGCATAATTCTAGTTTCTCCTAAAGTCACATAAAGTGACCTGTAAGCCATTTTATATTCTTTCTTCAAATTCAAATTGCAAGATTTTGGCAGCAATTCCAAAAATAACAACTCCAGAGAAATCCATGTGTACTAATTGTGGTGCTATAATTAAAAATGTGGTCACATGGTTTTTCATCTCAGTAAATAAATACATTTTTAGTAATAACTTCATGTCCTTTTATATTTCTGTCTTCAGATCACAGAGCTGTTGGATGACGACAAGTGTGAGCCAGAATGTGAAGAGCTGCCTCAGGACGGGGAGGAGGGTCCTGCCTCCTCCGACTCACCACAACACACACACACTGATGACAGCCCTGCAGCCAGGTGAGATATAACTACTGTATTTTATATTTTTAGATAAGATAATCATTTCCAGATGACATTGAGAGGGGGATATGACATGTGACAAAGGTCCTAGACTGAATTTAAAAACCAGGACATTGCAGTTATTTGGTATTTACTATCCTTCAGGCCAACCAGTTATTCAGTGGCATAGTTTTCTGCTGCTCTGCTTAGACTGTTTTGCACAGCTTTTGTTTGTTGTATCATGGACTTGCGAGTTAAGATTATATCCCATCACTGTCTTAAGCGATTCATATCTCTAAACTTGTCTGAACCTTTATGGCATTTGTACCAAATTTTCCTGATGATGATTTGGATCATTTTTAACACCGTCAGTTGTTGAGCTCAGGGCTGTTTCCACAAAGTATATTTTTCCATGGTGTATCCTACCAAAGCTAATAAAGCACAAGAACTAAATAATTGAAAGATTATTGGTTGTTGTTCTTGTGAGACTCCACCATGTGTCTGAAAAAATCAGATCAGAACAGGGTCTCCACCCCTAAAATAAGTCTGAAGTGAAAGACTAAGCTGCTCACTCTTGAACAATCATATGCTAAATGACATCACAGTTACAGCAGTTTCCACCAGGTGACATTTAAAGATGCAGAGCTTGTGTGATGACCTGTTGATGATAATTAGCTGGTAACCAACCAGAAGACACACACATGCAATCACTCACGTACAAAGGGATAATGCGTCTCCCTCCAGACTGAAGTACCAGAGTTCAATCCCCCTGCAGGAACATGGCAATCTTCTCTGGTTCTTCTGATCTGCTGATCTCCTTTAAGTTGATTACTGAGCACTACACCCAGATTACTGTATATAGGCACCTACACATTTTATACCATGCACTCTTAATCTATAGCATACATCTAAAGTAAATAAGAGAGATTGTATAATGCCAATGAAACTTGGCAACTCAAGTCTTAAAAGTTAGTGCTGTCGAAGCAAACCGTTATTGTCTCATTATGTTTTCAGGTCAGTGGTCAGAGCTCAGAACGGCAAAGTATTTTGACCTTCATCAGAGGTGTGCTGTGCAGATAAATTCATATCAGACAAAAAGCAAAGAAAGTTACTTAAGATTTACTTTCATAACAAAACTCACAGAAGTCCTTCACAGTTAAAAGATTTAGCACAGAATATCAAATATGCAGGGCAGTAACAGGAGCAACGAAACAGAATTAACAAAACAGATGACAGATGTAACATCAAAGAGCAAAACATCATTTAAGAAAAGCAAGTAAAAAGTTAGTTTTTTTTTTTTTTTTTCAAAATGAAATTAATTTGATTGATCTAATAGTGAAAGGCAAAAACAGCCAACCAGAATCAATAAATACAGAGTCATCATTCATATTGCAAATTGTTTTTTCCAAAATGAACAATTAATTTTTCTGTGAAAATAGTCTCAACTCGATAAACTAGATTCACTGTTGAACATTAATGCAGAATGGTCTTTGTCATTTAAATTAGTAGGGATAGCTGTCTCCAGATTCCACAGTGGTTTATGCCCCATTTTACAACTATGCTGCACTTTGTCATGGTGACATTATTGCCATTTTTATCTTATAAGAGACCATTTTATTTCATTTTTTTGGTTTTTAATTACTCTCAGTAATTACTGCAGTTTGTCTACCTTAACATTGATCTAAGCTTGGTTTCTATGTGTTGTTCAGAAAAATAAATTCCATCCATAATATAAGAATTATTGTCTTGATGTGTAGACCTCAGTCAGTTTTAATGGGTTCAGCCAGAAAACAATGCAGATTTTATCTCCATATCATTCATACAAACTTGACCCCAGGAACCATTTGAGCAGTCTGTATTGTTACCCTGAAACAGTCAACATGTACCAGCTATGCAGGCGTTAGCAGTAAGCTAGCTAGAAATGGACTCATTGACTGTGTGTGTGGAGTTTGTGTGTCTGTGTGTGTCTGTGTGTGTGTGTCTCTGTGTCTGTGTGTGTTTATGTTCCAGTCAGCCTCTGACTGATCCCAGAACTCAGCATGAACTCCAATTATTTCTGTCTTTTCCCTCCGCTCTCCTCTCATTTTCTCTCTTGTTTCTGTATATTTATAAAGCAGATTCAGGTTGAAACATTTTCAACTCATGCAGACATGTTTCCGTCGTTGTTTCTAAAACTTGCCTCATGTTCTGTCACATATTTATATCCTGAGTGCACTGTGTGTACTGCATTGCATCAGTCCACTTTGATTCCTGCCTCTGTGTGTGTGTGTGTGTGTGTGTGTGTGTGTGTGTGTGTGTGTGTGTGTCTGTGTGTCTGTGTGTCTGTGTGTCTGTGTGTCTGTGTGTGTTTTATTATATTTGTGGTGTCCGACAACTTTTTGCGAACCAAAATGCTGGACCCCAAAAGTTGAAATGGCTGTTTCTGTGTGTGTGTGTCAGAGTCATGCTACTAGCTAGTCACGTCCTACTGGCCTTTAAGATGATTACAGACAGTAATCCATAATCCACATACACACAGTTTCTTACCCATGCTCACTTGACTTAAACCATACAATGCCTGCCGTATATGTCTGTGTGTCAATGTAAAGCAGAGACAGTCATATGCAAAAGATGGCCTCTTTGTTGACTTTACTGGCTCAAGACAACATGGTCTGTGTGCTGCCAGGATGCTGTCGTCCCACTTCACTTTCAGCCCACAGTGCAGGGTTGAACAATCTGTGTTGATACATAAGGTCATGAATAACAACCTTGTTCAGGCTGCTGTGTGTGTCTGTCATCTGTGTATGTCCAAGTGGTTTGGTAGTTACCTACATTGTTTGTGGGACAACACTAAAGGATTCCTCTCTGTGTGTCTCTGTTGCGTGTGTGTGGGTTTTAGATGGCAGCTGTTGTACAGCGGTGCTCAGACTGCACTCATAGCTTTAATCATTACTGATGAAGATGGAGGGTTATGCGCAGTAAATGATTTAAGATGAACGACGCCAGCCAGACTGTTGTGATCTTTAAGTCTTATTTGATTGTTTTAGTTGATATTAATTCTCTGTTAGCTGCTAGCCTGCAGCCATCATCCCTGTGACCTTGTTTCACCTCACTGTCTGGCCTGGGGGATTATTGCTGTATTTGTAGAAGCTGGAGTTGAAAGCCTACACCACCAAACCATTTAAAACAATGTTGACCCTGATCCTTACAGAATACATCTGTTTAAATTGCTGAATATATGATATATAATACATAGATAAGAAACATACAAAACAAACCAGGAATGACTTTAGGAACTCTTTTTATGCCAAATTATAACACATTTCCCTTTGCTAATTTTCTCGAACAAAACAAATTATATTATGATGAATAACATTACTTCAGAATATGTGTTCTTGTTGTGATGTTCATACTTGAAGACAATACGGTCTTTTAATCTATATGTTTGATACTTGGAAATCTTTTTTTATACCAATAACAACAGAAGAGATGAGAAACATTATTGTCAGGCACCATTGCATCTATATGACAGACCTATACTATGGGCACAAAGCCTCTGTGTGGCTCTATATAATTTGAATATAATTACAGATGACTGGTGACACATGCTCAAATGGGAAAAGGTCAATTAAAATGATAGGAATATATAAGTAAGACAGGTAAACCAGCCATCATGTTCAATATTCCAGCAAATATATAATCCATGTTGTCCATCTCTTAGTCTTTTCATCTCATGCATCTTTTTTGACAACTCGCCCAAGTAGAATGGAAAAAAAATAAGATTTTTGGTCTTTTTTGAAAATATCACATCTGTTCAATTTATGAAACATTTTCTAAACCTGCTGTTTCAAAATAGCATTTTGTTTCATTTATTCTTTAATTCATTCAGACAGCATAATGTTACTTACCTTTCACTGCCTCAAAATGTTGCTTATGAGATTATAACCTTGAGTACTGTCTCAAGGTTTTTGATGTGTCATTATACATATGTATTCGTGAGGTGAGCTCACTGTTCCATGTGTTTGTCAGCTATTCCTTGACACATAACTGGTTGTGACGGCTCAGAAATACAGAGAAAGTTCCCATCTAGTGACTCAACATTAACTGTGGCTGAGTTGTTTGTCTAGCACTTGACAGACAGGGAAGTCTGCCCTCTGTGGATGTTGCACTGTTCCCTTAATAGACTCTTGACAGCCCACACACACACACTCCCACACACACACACACACACATCTTACATGCTGACCGCCTCTGCTCATTTTAAATCTATATATAATCCCTGGTATTTCTCTTCTGGTCTCTCTTCTTCCCCCGTCACTACTTCCCTCCCTCCCTCACCACTCTGCTTATATTCTCCGTGTGTATGGAAAGTATTTTTGATGAGGCTACTGAAATATCCTGGCAGACTGAGGAAGAGGGCTCTTGGGATGCTCTTCTGGCCCCGGTGAGCAGGAGAAGGGCAGGAAGGAGGGACAGATTAATGGAGGGAACTGAGAATCAGGTCAGAGAAGGCCATGAGGGGTCAAGGAGAGGGTGGGAGAATTGGAAAGTGTCCCTACTTGTGAACGATTTATTAATTTTCAGTCTGAGTGAAAGTGTAATATCAGACCTCAAGAAGGATATGGTCAAGTCAGAAGACAGCGTTTAAACACATTATAAAACACTTGTCTTCAATTTACCTGTATCCCTGCTTCTCATTCCTCACTGTTACACCCATCATACTATCCTAGCATGACTGTCATACATACATCTCGTGTTGCAAATAACCAGTTTTGTACCTCTTAAAGGTGAATCCCCTCATGTGATTTTCCTCCTGTCATTTGTATGATTTATATCCCAAAACGTATATCCCACTGTGCCAGAGAGCTCTTTTCTTCTATTTGTGCCAACAATGTGCACGTGCAGACCCACAAAAATACGCAGACACAAATACATAGGCCCATCTCTTTTCGTCAGTTACATTTGCTTTTTTCATGGCGAGTACCTGATGATTCTCACACACAGACACATAAATCCAGTGTATTTTAAAGGTGCACAAT